GGGCCAGTGGCTTGCTTGTGCTGCATTCGACTTTGCAACCATGGGTCGTTGCGCACGAGCGGATCTTCCTGAACTTTCTTGGGTGCAACGATCACTGGCTTGGCTTGCGCAAGACTGATGAGCACTTCGCCTCCCTTTGTGTGAATGACTTGGACCGGCGGATCACTAGTGGCTTGGACTTGCCACACAACCCCCGCCCCACCTGCGGCTGCTTCAACTGGCTGCAATGGCCGTGCAGGCCACGCAATCACTTTCAGGAGCTTGGTAACCCCATCTCGCTGGGTGCCAAAAGGCAGCGGGCCGAGCTCATACATCTTTTTATCTCCGGCATGCAAAAAAGGGATGCCTGGGCGCAACTCATTGTGGATCTTCTCAGCCTGCGCAGCCTCAACTCGGACTCCCAGCTTTGCTCCATGCCTGGCAACGCTCACGGCAGTCTTGATGGCCTGCGCATGCCTGCGTACCTCTGGTAGCGTGGTCCTGGGCAACCAGATGACACAGTGTTGTTCACTTGGCTTGGTGCCATCATGCGTGCGGGGCTCAAAGTAGAGCCCAGCAACCCCTGACACTGCCAGCGCCGCAGCTTGCACAATCTTGGGCACCCTGACATGCACCGTGAACATGGTCGCATCTTTAGATGGGACCGTCACATAGCTGTCTCCACAGAACTGTCTCCTCCACACATCCAGCAAGACCTGCTGCACTTCCGGATGCTGGACAGGATGCCATCTCTGGCAATCACAGCTATCACGGGTACACTCCTGGAGTGGGGCTGCAATGTGTATGAGCGCACGGATGGGGCGTTCACACACAACGTTCCAGTCCAGCAAACATTCATCTCGATACAAACAGCATTTGAGGGGACCTCAGGCACTTCGCACTGGACACGATGGGCATGCTTGACAATTTTGACCTGGCCCAACTGAAGAAGCGTTGCGGTGATCAGTGCTCCAGTGGCAAGGCAGTTCGCTGGGAACCGGATCTCTTCTGCATGGAGTTGGCATCCTGAGAACTTTACCGGCGGCACTACAAGCAAAGCAAGGCCTTTGGCTGAAATGAGCTTGCCTGCAGTTGCATACGGTTCTGCAGTAGCCTGATCCGTGATGATGACCATGAATCTGGATCTGCTGGACGAACTGTCCTTCCTGCTCCTGGAACACCTGGCTTCTGATTTCAACCTGGTCATGCAGCACTGGACGATTTTGCTCCCGGAGTGTGCTACTAAGCTTAGGCGGCTTCGGCGGCTGCTTACCTCAGTCCACGGTCTCTTTGCGCCCAGGGCTACTTCCCTGGCTTCAGCTTCTTCTGCGCGCACCTGTGGCAATGATTCATCTGGCACCTCAAGACTTGCGGGCTCTTGGACTGGCCTTTCAAGTGGCACAAAAGTGCCTGCCTCAGCATCACTTGCTCCGGCTGGTGCACCCAAATCCAACGGCTGGCTCCAGAAATCCAGAATGGCATGCACAACGCTCCTCTGATATGCTGCCAAAACCTCTGTGGGCTCACTGGGTTCCCTACCACATGCCAGATCAACTGCTTTGCGCACACATGCTCCAACCCACACTGACTGGATGGGGGATGCAACTTGGCCAGTGACCGCCAAAGCCAATCGCATGTCAGATCCAAGCGGTATGTTGGGCACTATCCCAACCAGGGCACACACCTCTCTGGGGTGAACATGGCGAAACACCTGAACATGAGAGCCATCTCTCGCACTTTCCGTTCTGTCAATCACAAGGGCTCCATGAATGCCCTTGCTTGCCAAGCGATGTTCAGTGAAAGGAAACTTCCTACACCCACAAGTGCATGGGTACACTTGACTTCCCCAGCTGTGCAAGGCAGTCTGCGCTGGACCTTCTTTGTTGATCAGGAACATTCTCAGCGGCTTGTTCTCCGAAAACCTCCGTTGCTCATACTGAGTGAGCCAGCTGTTGCACCTCCGCCTGTGGCCACTGCATGACTTGCTGAAGCACCTGACCAACCTTGCGATACTCACTGCAGATGGGAAGCTGTGGGACGCTTGCTGGTGCAATCCCTGGATGTGCCAGGATGCACCACCATCGTTCACGTGCAGAACACCATGCTCGACTGAGTTGCAACTGCTGCTCACGAATCTGGAACCCTGTTTGGCGTGCCCAGGACTCCAAAATCCCCCGCACCCATGCATCTGCGCCAGCCCCAGTGACACACTCCAGAATGACCACCTGAGCACCCAGGAGACACGAAATCATGAGTGTAGCCGGAAGGGTTTGAGCTCTGTGGTCGCTACCTCCACCTCCGTCACCAAGCTGTGAAAACGGCTGACATGAGATGCCAGCTGCCACAACGGCAGCATCATGGGGCAGCAGATATCTCCTTCGACCACAGTCTGCGGGCTCTGCAACCTCAAAATCTGGCTGATCCTTGGCATCCACTCGACTTTCAACACGGGCTTGGTGCCTGCATACGCCAGTCCGAGTCCCATCGCCCCAATGCCAGCGCATAGTTCAACCACACGTTCCAAGCTGCTGTCAGAAAACGCCCTTCGTCTGCATGCATAGGCCTCCTCATCGACTTCCAGGACCGAAGCTCCTCCACCACATGCCGGTGCCGTACACTTGGCATTGACCAAGACCAAATGTCCAGCTCCATGAGGCCATGCACCTGTGACCACCACCCGTTTCTGATGCAGGAGTGTGTGTCCAAGCATCATCCCTGGGAGAACCGCATCCTCGACGATCACCAACGAGGCCCTCACCTGACTGAGGTCCTCCACGTCCATGGCTGGCAATCCCGGCTCTATCTGCCGTCCCAGCTCGGCCACTGGGAGGCTAGAGCCACGAGCTATTTCACCAGCCTGACATAAGATGGTTGGGGGGCTATTTCCCACATAAACCATTTGGGGTGAGGTCGTGGTCGTTATAATTCACCCAGAGCTTCGATTCTGCTCTCACATCCCGCGATGCCACTCTCCTCTCCGAACTTGTCTCGGATGCTAACGTGACCTCGCACGATACGGCGCGACGCTCTTGTGGGCTTCTGCGAAGGGACCGGGAGTCGGAGCAACCTATGCAGGGGCAGAAGTGAAAGTAGCAAGATGGCAATAGCCATCCCCGCCAAGAAAAAGACCTTGGCATTGCACGCACGAAAGAGAGTGCGAAATTGTAAGTTCTATGTTGTGTAGCGTTCTTTTCACCTACCCGACACATACCACTCTGCCAAGCTTCGTTAACTAACCCATGTCTCAAGATATTTGGGTGAGCCCAAAGCGATGATGGTCGAAATCATGTTCATGACTAGCATGCAAAAAAATATGGTGTTCAACGGTTCATCATCCACTTTCAAGGGTTGGTAAAGCAGCAAATAAATGAATCAACACATAAATAAATAGAACAAAAACAAATAAATAAACAAATAAACAAATAAATAAATAAACCAATATACAAATAAGTAAATAAAAATAAAAATAAAAAAAATAAATAAATAAATATATATATATATAAATAAATAAATGAATAAACATATTGCTTGTTTTTGTTTTGCCCTTTTTCAAAGGTAACATTGACAAATAAATGAATCAATCTAAAGATTAATCAGTCAAACAAATGAATCAACCATAGATTTGACAAAAACATAATTATTGGTTACAAGAAAGGTTGTTCCATTTTGTTCCTATCTTGATCCATGATGCGCCCCTCGGCTAGGAATGACATCTGGTCCAGTCTGGTTTCAACATCAGTGTCAATGCTGTCAATGAACAACATCCTGCAGTTAAAATCAATGAAAGCCGAGTTGAATACTGGTTGATAGACCGCCTGCCGAATGGCGCAGGAACGTGTCCATGCACAGCATCAAGGTTTCGATGGTTCGATCCCCAAGTAAAGGACCAAGCTCATTAGCTCATTGTAGCTCGAATCGGTGAGCTCGTAATCTAGATCCGATGTGCTTTGCCTGTTGCCTAACAGACCTATCCTGATAGTCCCCAAGCATCTGGATTAAGATCCAGATCATCGGCCCCATCCGCCTGCACCAAGTGAGCAGTGCCCAAGTGGCAGTAACTTTATAATCAATCTAGGGGATGATTCCCCATTCTTCTCAACCATCGTTCTTTTCAAACACTGGCCGTTTTCAATGGGTTTCTTCTGGAAAGAATGGGGAGCTAGAACCCGGACAATACACACTTGCTTGCGCTGAGGAACTTCGTACATAGTACTTGGAACAAGCCGAAATCGTATCTTGCCCCCATGAAAGCACACAACCAGTGACTTTCGCAAATGCATACACCCTGACTCACTGTACATCACGAAACAGCGCGTCTTTACCAGTAAGAAATTCCTCCTCGACGGAATCACCCCAGTCCTAGAAACTGAACTGCGGACTATATTCTGACGTGATACTCCAAATGAATATGGGAAAGCTGGGATGAAGGTGAAGGTGTTGATCCCTTTGCCAAACGTCAAAGCCTGGCTCCTTTCGCACCGTCCCTGGGGCCCTGGACCACTGAAGAGCCCGAGCGCGATGTGGAGCCCGTCGTTGGTCCATGACATGGCCAAGATCTTGGAGTTCACCTGGCAATGTTTCGCGTCCAAAAAACACTCTGGGATTCTAAAGGTGACACCCCCATTGCTGTCCAGGGAAACAGCCTGAAACAGCTGGCGCTTGAAAAGAATGGTTGAAAAGAATGGGGAATCAACACCTAGGAGCAACTTATCAAGGTGTGGTTGGGATGGAACTGTCTAGAATTTCCCCACTGGAATGCAATACTACATGAAGAGATCGCGTCACATCTTGGAGCCTAGGAAACAAACCTTTGACAAAGCCAAGCCTTTGATCATGTGATGCTTGTCCCGCAATCAGGGTACCTTGCATGTGTGTTCCGGACACACCATGAGAAGCACCAAACTCAGACATATCTTCACTTCAACCTGACACAATCGGTTTCCTTGAAGGATCCAACGACCTAAACATCAAGTTCTGGGGTCCCGAGCCCCACCCCGCCGCAAGTCGCATGCCTCAAATTCTCATACCACCCAACTCGTGGCTCCCCGGCTCCAGCGACCGCCCGACCGCGCCTTGCGCTTGGACACCGACTTCTGCTCCGGGGACCACAGGCCCAGGTCGGAGGCAGTGCCGCTCGCCAGCTGAGCGAAGCGCTGTCTGTGGGTGGGTTTTAATTCCAACAAATATGCGTGAAAGAATCACGACAGACGCACATTGCTCTGTGATGATGGCGTAACTTGGTTCACCAGTACCCCGCAACCCCATCTAACTACTCAGGCCCTGATTAGTGGCTCCCAAGTCTTGTGCACACTGGCCCACTGGCTATAAAACGTGGTTTTCGGCACAAGTCCGGGTGGTGGCGCCAGCCGAAGTGCAACCATGCAACCATGCAACCATGCAACCATGCAACCATGCAACCATGCAACATGCAACCAGCGGCCAAATTTGGAAAAATGCACTTGAACTGTGGGGTCATATTTGATAACTGCCTGGACAAAACTGAAGTGGCCACTGAACCAGTGGCCACCGGGTACAAATCCTTGCGCAAAGTTCGGACTGTTTGCAGCCCCGGGTCACGAAGGGATTCCAAAAGAGCTCCCGTGATCCCAATGCAAACCTTTGGCAGCCACTGCTTCGTGAAATTAAAGATGATCCCCACCTTTGTTTGCTTTTGCTGTCCCTTTAACACCGACGTTGTGTATCCCATGTTTCAAGAAGGCCCATTCAATAAATCAAGGAGATGTTCTGATGTGCTCGGATTTGGTATGACTCCAATGAGCCCGACATAGAATCGGTGAGGGAAGCCATTTCGTGAAATCAAGTCATTGCCCCCACGCTCCTACATGGCCCCTTGCAGGCAAAAGCCCCCACAAGCTCCTGTCCACTAACATCGAACCTGACTGAGTGCTCCTTTAAACTTTAAGAGGGACCCTCTGGTGGGTTTCATGTTGGTGGACAGGCAGGTAGGGTTGTTCGTAGCCGTAGCTTCACTAACACAACCGACGCGCGAGTGCCAGTTCACTCTGCAAGCAGCGGGGCCTGCGAGTTTGTACATGAAGGACGAATCCTGTGGAATGAACTATCTGCAAGAAACTGGCTTGTTAGCCAGTTCAAGGTGTGCCAAGCCTCAATGCAAGGAGCCATCAGTGCGGCTAGGAACAAGGAACAATCCTGGTGCTGTCAAACCCCGGCGTTGGCCGTCATCTTTGAAACTAACCAAAGTCGTGAAGGTCTGCAAACCACCACGGCATTCCTGCAAATTACCATGGAATTGACAAAACATCATCTTTACAGGAATCTCCTTTGGGGATCCGCCTGTTCAGGTTCCAGGCTCTTTTGTTTTTTCTTGGGGGGGAAATCGGTGGCCAGGCGCACAGGCCCAGAAGTCCTTCTGGTGGCTGCTTATCCACGGAAGCGTTGTGACAACGCGCAAAACCGTCCAGCACAAAGTGAGGAAGGGCAACAACTTCCAAATCACGGCCCCAAATGAGGAAAAATGCCAATCACAGCCCCAACGGTCGCGCGCTAAGGCGATTCTTGCCTGTTGACAATAAAAGGCGTCCAAAGGGAAGCCTGGACCGTGCTCGCGAATTGAAGGTATAAAAGCCCTGCTCCAAATTGCGCACCTGCTGAGTGACAGGATTGTAGGCCAGGCACTGAATAGACCTGCAAGTGGAGGGAGAGGGGCCAAGCCATTCACATGTTAACCTACAGAAGCACTGGTCAATCCGCTTCACATCGGGTCATGGCTCAACACAAATAGGGGACCCGCCCTTAGGTAGCTGATGTTCTTTGGGTTCCCTCCAAACCCTCCCAAAAGGGGTTTAGTCATGTTTAGTCAAAATCAAAGCACGCTCACGGGAGAACACGTGTTGTGAATGCTTAAATCGGCTCCCTATGTCCGAACCGTGTGCCATAAGCAGCATCTAATGGACTTTGTTTTGCGGTGAGCGCAACGCATGACATCAAGGGGAATGAGATCCTTGCCAACCTGCCCGAGCACCAGGCACCAGGGATCACCACAAAACCGAAGGAAGGCTATTGAAGTTGTCAAAAGTAACAACCCGTGTGGATCATGAGCAAGGTCATGCTTTGTTGGCTGCTTGTCATGCGAGAAGCCAAGGCCAGCTCAATTCTTGCGAGCGAACATGCCCCTGGCCTCTCTCACATGAGCAGATTTTGCACGGTTTGCGTCGCAGAATTTCAGGGGCGCTGGCAACTCCGCTGCCGCGTTGGCTCTCCAGTGATCCCTTATTGTTAACCAGTCCGTTCCAATGAGTACTGGGGGCTCCATTTCGGCTCATGACAGGAAACATGATCAAGGTCCAATTGGCTTGACCGATTCCTTCGAAGCAAATCGAATAATGTTGACCCAGGAGAAAAAAAAACGTCCCATTATTAGGGGGGTGTTCCCTCCCAAAAGTGGTCTGAATCTCGACTAAAACCAGGGACACCCCCCTATTAACGCCTATTAATCAAGCAGGGGTTCTGCGACGGACTGGGCGCTGTGCCCGGCCCTAGGCTCATGACTCATTGTGGTTGTACTTCAGGATGCCCTCCGCCTCGCGTCGGACGCGTTCATGGGTGTCAAAAATAGGGTAACCCCCAAATGGAACTCTAGCAAATGGCAACAAGGACTAAAACCTGCGGTCCCCTGGTGGTATATTTTTGACCCAAACCCATGTGGCTGTGGCTCAAAAAACCGGTACTAAAATGGAACCCTGGTAAGTGGAAACATGGACCAAAACCTGCGTAACCCTAGCTCTTAAATTTTGAGCCACAGCCATGTGGGTTCGGGGGTTCGGATGCCCATACCAAACAAGGCCATCTTGTTTCTGGCCTGGTGTAAAACACTGTTGCGTAGCTTACCCTCTTCCCCACCCCCTCATCCCCCCCAAAAAATAAAGGGGACAAGAAGCCGCAGCTGGGATGAGACTGGATTCCGGGCTATGAACTTGGCCAACATTGCAGATCGCTTCACACCAAAAATACCAACCGCGCACGGTTTATTGTCCTACGCACTCGAACATGGAAGGCGCTGGTTCGACTGGTGCAGTCTCCATTGCTTACCATGGCAGCTTGAACCCACGATCGAAGTCCAGAAACGCAGCTCAGGCCTTCCACATGTAACAGCTAGTTTTGAAGATCCGCGGCTGAGTGTGCCCAAACCTTTACCCTGCCAACATGGGTTTCATGATGACTATGCCGCATCCTGCCCAGGTCAGAAGACATGTAACTACTCGAACGTATCAGAAGGACCCCCTCAATGCACAACAAACATGGCAAAACAGGTTCACATAGCGACAAGGGACATGTGGCGTGAAGCTGCCACAACACTGCAAATGTGGTTTCATGTGAATCCAGGAAATGAAACTTCGACACGCAAGCTTCACAGAGTCAAGCAATCTGAAACAGCCCTCACAACGGCTTATGAAAATCATACACAATGACACACAGGTCACATGTTGTTTCTTGAATAAAGAGGGAACTTTAAGCCCAAATTCAGGCCTTGGGCTAATCGCGCCGGCCTTGTGAGTCCAAATGATGACTTGCTTGTCGGCACCGCCCGAAGCAAACCTGAGGCCGAGAGATTGAGCCAGTTGCGCAATCTTCGTATATAGAAGGGGTCCGGCAGGCGGAGCGTCAAAGCAGAAGGGAGGAAGCAATTGCTGGCACGTCCCCAAAACCCCTGCCAATAAAAACTGATTTGTATGCCAAAATGTAAACAGGCTGCGAAAGCTGGGTGGTGCGAATTACTTCTGCATGAAGTTGTTGAAAACCCGACTCGCACTGCTTATGTGGCGGTAAGCGCTTGCAGCATGTTGTTTTGGGCGGAACGTAAGAGCCCTTCCTGCGGATAGAACCAGTCTATCCGTGCTCTTTCTGACGCAGTTGGTGGAAAAACGTGCGGGGCTCAACACTGCCGTCCCTCCTCAACACGTGGCCAGGTTTGGATGAGACCAAAGATGTGGACCAAAAGTGACGATACCCTCAGGAGTTAGGTCGCATCCCTTGCACCTAGCATCCCCTTCGCCTCCCTTCATATGGGGGTGAACTTTGATAGGCCCGTTGGTGGACTTCATTTAGGTGGGGGTTCATGTCCACCAACCACTTGTGAGGGGGCTTCCCAATCTAAACTCATAGCCATATAGTACCATCTATAGCAACTGTTATCTCTGCGAAGGTGGACAATGCCGCCAAGCAGCCCAAAAAAAGACTCCGCCACAAGGATTTTGCGAGAATCTCTGAAAGCTTCTCCAGAAGGCGTCTTGGAAGGCTATATGTTCGCTCATAGTGCAAAGACTCAAGCCAGCGAACACACACACACACAACTTTCTCGGTTCACAGCCCAGTGCTATGCAACTTGTTCACGCAACCTGTTCGCCTGAATGTCAGAATCGGGTATGCGGTGTCTGCATCTAATGTCCTGTTTTCCATTGAGCCTTAAAAAACCTTCCCGCAAGCGAGTCACAAATGCCGTTATGCGGTCCAGGTGTTGGGCTGCGGCAGTGGACCACAGCCTCTGCACAATCATTCACCCAGTTACTTGAGTCTAAAGCCGCACCTTGGCAGAAGAGCAGAAGTAGGCCGATCATGCATTTCCCATTGCAACAACAACGCCAAACCACTGTCCCCACAAATGAATAAGATAATATAAAGCTACCACCTTGTCACATTATATAACAGAAAAAAAGAGAGAAAAACAAAAAAACTGGGGTAGGGATTTCTTGGCCAGTGGAGACCATCATAGAGAAGAGCCATGCAAAACTCCAGGCGTGGAAAGTCAAAGCGACGTCTGTGTGGTGGCTCTGCCTTTGAACTGGGGTTAAATACGAGATTTGCCGTGGGTTTCACACGGGTCCTACAGGGAACTGGGTCCTTACAGTCAAAAACATGTGGAGTTGTCCAACCGACTTTGGAGGCAGTCTCTTCTCAATAAGTTGGTAATTTTGAGGTTGTCACCTTGACTTTGCTGAACCCATCAAGAGTTTGCCTCAAAATGGGGGACCTTGAGGATGGAGTTTCTTTTGGTTTCCCTCAAGTCGAAGCGAAACCTCGTCACCTGGGTTGGGCTTCCGGGCTTCTTCCCATGCCTGGAGTAGGCCACGCAGAAAACGCTCTCCTCACGGGCAAAGCAATCACGGGGGAGGGGCAATCGAACGTTGCTTCAATTTAAGAATTACGGCACAAATAAGTGCATGTGTAGAGATAATAAAGGTATACATATGTATGTGTCAAAGTATATATACATATGTATACATATCTATAGATATACCTATTGCACAATACACATGACACGGACACACCTTTGTACACAATGATAGAGCCTATAGGCTAAAGGGCAATGCCGCAAAAATGGGCGGCTTGGAACTGTGAAAAACGCTCCTACTTTGATGGACTGAGGATCCTCTGTCTGTTCTTGCCTTGGAAATATCATGGTAAGGAGGACTCCAAACAAGCCATGACATCTTGAAGCCAATGATTGCTTGTGACTCCGCCAAGACTTGAGCTCTACATGAGCATGCGTTGCAAGTACAACAAAAATATCCGGGCGGCTCACAGCAAAGACACATCCCCGGCAACAAGCGACGACGCGGGTTCCATGTATGATGCAACGCTGACACACATTGATGATGGAAACATGGCAAAGGAGCAAGAATCCATAAAGCCATGCCCTTTTCAAGATCGTTATGGGCTCCTTGCGCACATGGCTTGTTGATTCCTTGCAAAGTCCGCTTACTTCTTGATCCATCAAGCGCTGAGTACCAGGTCGGCATTGCGGATTGTGTGCCTCCTGAAGCCGGCCCAGCTTTGTTGACGTTTCTCCGACATGTCATTTGCTCAGATGTTGCTTTGTCCTGCGCCGCTCTTTTCACAGCCAAGTACTGCCCATATGGAGAAGGTGCCCAGAATAGGGACGCTGTGGGTCTGCTTTCAAGAGGATGGAAATCCACATTTGACATGTTCAGACTGGGCTTCGCTCCATCTTCAACAATCTTCGCAATCACAGAAGCTAAAGACTCCACCTTGCTCAACCTTGTGGTACCCTATGTAATCCGTGTGTGCAGCCCAAAACATTGGGTTTGTCTTAACCCGAATTTGGGGGCGCCATCCTGCAGACAAACCCAGCCCCGAGAACCGACTGCCTTGTGGCCCTTCAGCGAGTGGACGAGGTCCCCATCCGTGGCGTCGTACACCAAGACGCGGTTGCCGGCCTAACCGCGTCGCGCTGCGAGCTTCGGCCGGATCAAACGGGCTGTTTCAAACGGGAACCACAAGGAAAACCGTTTTGGGGATCACATGAGACCCTTAAATGGGTCGGACACAACATGTTATTTTCTTGGCGGACATGAATCTGCAGGTTCCGAGGATCCCTCAAGTTCTCAACGAGTAGAGGACAACTGACATCCGGAGTGAAGTGGGCCCTCAAAGCAAAGACCTTAGACATGTTGCTTCAGACACATCCCTTCACCAAGCTGCAGAGTGAAGTGACCCCCCCCCACACGCAGTTGGGTGCCCTTAGATGAAGGATTGCTGGCCTCGCACTGATGGTTCTGTGCCTGATGAAAACAAGCATCGATGAACTCATACCCACAGGGATCAAAAGTTAACACACAATGACCGATGCCATTCATGTTTGAGTCACTGTTCAAACGACCTCAAACAGCTTTTCCCATCCTCAAATTGGAGGAGGAACGGTTTTGGAGCCCATTTCGTCTGAGGGGCTGCCACGATGATCTGCGTCCCGTCTGGCTTGAAGGCAATACCTGAGCGCCGCTGTGCTCGCACGGGTGTCCGAGGATCCATTTACCCGGAAATAGTCAGACATCTGGCGTATGTCCTGAGAGAGAGATCATATCTGAAGTCAAAGGCTCAACGACTTGGCACTCCATGAGACTGGGTAACTTCTATCCTCTGATCCGCCCAAAGCCACAATTTGTAGCGTGCATGGGGCTTGCGTGCAGGGCTTCCACCGCTCGCGCAACATGTCATATTGAATCACCCCCTGCCACTTGCATGTATTGACTGATAATGTTGGCTCAAGGAATCGAACTTGTTCACCGATCGACACAGGCACACTGCATCACTTTAGCTCATTCGGTGCATATGCCGGCATCAGCATTAACCTACGACCAACCACATCCGCAAATGATTGCCCTCGAGCCGATTTGTTTAAATATATGACGGATTGAGCGTTGGCCTCGCCATCCCTCAACATACCCGGAACATCCCACTGCACCCTTCAAAAGAATAGCCGAAGCTAAGCCCTGATGGGATCATGACTCCACATAGACAAACCCTGCGAAACCGCAAAAGGTAGGCTGTCAATATCCGGGCACATCAAGCCACCAAACGGCCTTGCATTTAATTCCCGCCGAGCCACTCCAGATACTATTGCTCCATTTCTCCCTCTCTGGGACCTCGCGCGCTTGCGGCTTGGAACGGCAAGCAAATGCCATGCGGATGCTGAGTTCCTTGCTTTTGCTTTTGCATTCGGCAGCAAGTACATGAAAATGCATTGACAGATGACAAAGGTATCAATAGCAAGTCTTGCTGGTCGACTGCAAACCTTCTGACAACCAGACAAAGTCGCTTGGGCGATGACCACACTCCCAACTACGCCAGAATCCAAAGCCTAGGTGACCAGGCTGTGCAGCGGTGTTTCTGCCTCATTTGTGCAAATTGAAGGGGGACTGATGAGATAGTGGGGTCGCTCCCAAATGTAGTTGGATCAACGACAAAAGTACATGACATTGTGGGCATATGCCATCTCTGGGCCCAAATCTTCCCCTAGCTCGACACCTCCGATTTGGTCAATGCTACGAGACCCTTGCAGCTGTATTTGGGAACTTGTTCACAAAACATGCGTATGGGTGTGAGTTTTTTTGGGACCCCCCCCTCAAAAAAAACAAAAGAAAGGAAAAAGAGATTATCCTTCTTGGACAAGGGGTTTTGGACATGGGAAAAGCGCAAAAGGCATTCGTTGGGTGCCCAAAGAAGAAAGCAACCCACGTCGAGCTCTGGCCTTGTCCTGCCATAGGGTGACGGTGCGCATGAGACCGGTGCCCCTGGCGGCGCCGGAAGGGCGAAATCTGCCCTGACAAGGCCTGTTAACAAAAAGAAGACACTCGCCCAAGCAGCTCACAGAATTGATAATGTGCTGATCAGTGCCAATCTGGGCAACATCCGCCCAGGTCGGAGAACGTCATCACATTCGAATTGAGAGGAACATAATCAACCTAACGGAATCAATCCCCTTGAAAGTGATTCCTTACCCCCACTAGAAAGCGAAGCCGCAAGGCGGCATCTTGCATGCGAATTCCATGCGCCTACTGAGCTGTACTCCGATCAAAGCATGTCGACAAAGAGCTTTTGCTTGTGATTGCGCGGGGTCCAGAATGGACCCTCTCCTCTCAACCTGCAACTGCTGCGCCGCCCAACCCACTTCGACACCCCGATTGCGCAGCCTTGGCCCCCACGGCGCTTTGGCCCCGAGAGTGCGACTAGCCCCCCGAGAACCGCGAGCGAAGGCGCGGGCGAAAGCGCGAGTGGTGGGCATGATACGGTTGATGCCCTAAATATTGCAAGTGAACCGACGTCCAGCCACGTTTCTCTGGCAACCTGCGGCAAAAGACAGGTTTGCGGCATGAACTCGTGGGACATCCAACGTATGGTTCCTAAAGGCAACACGTCAACTTTGAACAGGCTGCCTGCATCATGAGGACAACACGAAAAGGCCATAACTAGGCCAGTCAGCGGCAGTTTGCCATAGCAATTGCTTTCTTGTGCAGAGAACAACCAGTCAGCGATCCATTAACAGTCTCCATGCTTAGGATGGACCAAACACGACACCTCAATCTGCCAAGATTGCAATCTACTGTGATTTGCATGTCTTGGGATCAAAGGGGCACTGACATCCCAGACAAGCTGACTTAACAACTCCCAAAGCCAATACCATTCCTCCAAGGCAAGCAACTGTTGCAAGAGAATATTCTCTGCCCATCAATCAATCACCCTCCCACCAATTTAACATGGAACCTGACAGGTGGGTCCTGGAAGATAAATTTCCTTTTGAAGGGACCACTTCACTATCAGGCTCCATGTGAATTGGTGCAGGCTAGCGACAAGTATACTCACCCAACTCCTCCACGTGGCCTTGGGGGAGTTGCCCGCACGGTTGAAAACCAGGGATGCTTCAAAGGAACGGGGGCACATACTTTGGCGCGCCGAAGGCAATTCCCTTGGTACCATGGGAGGTGGCAACATGCCCATGTCCCACGCAGCCATGAAGAACCATCGCAGCTTTGGAGGGACCGCCCATGATGTTGCCATTGTCAAAATCGCCCAGCTCAAAGGAAAACACCCCCAGATTCTGACCAATCAGCACGGGTGGGCAAATTGTAGGGCAGAACCCCGTGTGGGTTGGTTTCTGAGTCAAAGTAAGACCTGGAACAAACCAAAAAAAAAGAAGAAGAGGAACCCTGAAGTTCGGTGCGACCGGCAGGCTTGGCCCAAGTCTCAACATGCTGAAACCACTGTTGTTCTCCACACCCTTCTGTTTTTCCTCAGGGGCCCAAAGGTTGTCCAATCAAAATGCGTAACCAACCCTGCCGGGAATACTATTTGTTCTTATTGGAGGGGGGTTATGATTAGGAGGAAGAGATTTGGGGGCACTTGCGCTGGTGCAGCGCCAAGCGCATGGTGCGGCCCATGCGGAGGTCGAAAGTCCGCATGGCGCCGTCGTGGCAGCCGGTGACCAAACTGTGGGCCTGGGTCTCCGACAACTTGCGAGCGGTGCGAGAGATGTGAGGGAGTGAGAGTGAGGAAATGACCGCAAGAAAAACCATCCAACTGGTGGTTTTGAATTGGAATGACCTCAAGAAAAACCATGCAACCAGTGGTGTTCGACTGGTGGACGTCATCTACCGCTGGTTTTCAACTGGTGGGCATGGTTTAAACCCGCCCCAAGTTGGTTTCCTGAATTCGGGAATCCCCAGGTTGAGTCCCTCCCTCCCTGCCGAGCACCGCAAGGATTCTGTTTCATCGGCACAAGGGTAGAACCTGGGACATGAAAGGAAACCAAGGGAAACCGTTGACCAAATGTCTACCTTGGCTTCGCCCCAAGCGGGGAAACCAACGGTCGTTGGAAGTTCGTTATAGTACTTGTAGGAGCAGCAAAGATTGGCGCATCCGGGGTGCCACTGTTTAAAATGATGCAACATAGCTGAAGATTAATGCTAAAACAATCTCAAAAACGGACACCCTCGAAAAAGTACCACGCCTGCATATCTGTGTCGTTGCATCGCGGCTTCATCCCGTCCCAAAACCAAGGGAGCACAGGCGCCAACATGTTGGGATTTGTTCATCGCTCTGTACTCAGGTGGCTCTGGCTGAAAGGTCCCCTTTAAGTTGGGTATGGCCAATTCAACTGGCAATACGAGGCTGATCTATGGTTAGAAGCTGTTGAACTTGGAAGGTTAAGTAGGATTGATCTTCAACTCAAGGGTTTAACCCAGCATGCGGCCTTCAGATCTGGGATAAGAAACACCAGTCGTCAGAAGTTCGTGGCTTTCAAGTGGCTTCCCCCAGCACCAAACTCTAAACGTGCCTTGCATCACCCCAATTTCTCACACATCGCGCGTCTCCTTTTGAGGGTACGGCGGATTCCCTAATACTTCCAAGTCGGGAACAGGGGGAGCCTTGTCATTTACCAAGACCCAATCCAAATCCATGATCATTTGGAAACGAAAGGAACCTCGGTGATGTAACCCAAGGAAGGGCCAAACAAAACAGCTTATTTTGATTCTGAGACATATCGTGCAAAGGGGGGCAACCTGCAACGAAGCCATTTCTTGGACCAGTTTGGGCTCCGTACCAGGAAATATGGACTTTGTGGGGTGGCACCCTGGACGAAAGAAGATAAACAAAAAAGGCAATCAACATAGGCGGGGTTTGAGAAGGAAAGGAGATGTGGAGCCTCATCTTTTTGCGGCAGACCAGCAAACAAGCAAGCAAGCAAGCAAGCAAGCAAGCAAGCAAGCAAGCAAGCAAGCAAGCAAGCAAGCAAGGCTACAATGCAAGGCAAGCAGACAATACAAGTGGAAAACAAACAAATGATAAATGAGCAAGCAAGACCCGTCCGCAAACCAGCTCTGAGATGAAGCATGCCCCCACGCCTATGAACCCGGCGCCCCAAAAAACCAAGCGATAGTGCCCTCGGATCGCAAGCACCGACGGGCGAGCCAAGAGGTGGATCCGTGTTCGCTTCAGCACGTCCCACATCTCCCTTTGCCAGGGCCCCCCAAATTCCCAAAAAACACCACCCAAGGGGGGGGGAAGTCTGCTAGTCTGCCAGTGCGAGGGCACCCTCTTCAGCTTGGAATTCACAGACATGGACCGAAAGACACGAGGAAATCACCCCAAGCGCTTGGGAAGTGTTGAGCCAAACCAGGAAGGCCACTGTTATGCACAGAAGGGCATATTTGTTTTACACAAATACACCTGTGCGGTAGGCTTTGAAGCTGAAGACTGGAAGATCCCAGTACTCCATCCAGTGCTCTGAGTTGACAGCACGCTCACTATATCATGCCAGCAGCAGCAGCAGCAGCAGCAGCAGCAGCAGCAGATGCAAATAGACCAGCTTTGCACGAAAGCTATATTGGAGGTTCCGTGGTTCAAGACTTTCTGAACATCCTAGTTCAACTCTGCCCCATTTCTAGCATTCAGAAATCCCGAGTGTTAACAAGGGTGCTCCTAGGGGGCCAAAAATGCCGAGCCAAGAACACAAACACCGCGCTGCGTGTTCCAAGCTGCGAGGTCTGTTTCACCTCTGGGCTCCCAGGCGTTGATTGGGTCGAAGCCCAGGGACGTGACCATCTCGGGGTGCGCCAAATTGCCAACGCACCTGTCACCAGCTTTGGTCGCCTTACCCAAAGTTCGTCCCTGGATCCGCGTGCGCCTTGTTCTTTCTCTTTTTTTGGCGGGATATGTCAGGAACCCCTCTAAACTCTAGATTCTTCGTCGTTGATGCCTTGCTCAAAGTGAGCACTTTAGCGGGGATATGTCACAATGCCCAAAACAACAGTCTAGTTTAGTCTACAAGTCGAAGAAAATGGCTTGCAACCCCCGTGGATCTACTTTTGAAGATGCCACTTTTGGAAATTTTAAGAGCTTCGGCGTCGACAAATGGCTTGCCTTTGTGGGCAACGAGGGGTGGCCAGGTCAGTTTCCTTGGAGACTTCCGTCTGCAATAAAACATGTTGCTGGTCCTCGGTTGGAATGAGTTGGAATGACCCCAAAGCCATCCAACTGGTGGTTTCCTTTCAGGGGATCCCAAAACGCTGCATTGGCAAAATCTTTCATTGGGATTCCCTGCTGCTGAGAACCACCAAGAAATCAAATGAGTCAGTCGCACCATGCCTGTGGCAATTTCCAATCAGGCAGTTGACTGCTAGCTGACATCACTTGTTGAATGGAAGACATGCACAGGCGGAAGAATGTCAACACGGATTTATCATATATGGCCATGTCTGAGCAATCATTCCATCCAAGAATCCTAGTTTGGTCGCCACCCCTTCTGCTGCTCAATTCTCTTGCTGATTGTGAACCAATCGTTCCTTTTCACTTGTCACGAACACAAGCCATCTCAATGCTGCGACAGGAGTCAACTCCAAGGCTTCAGCGATTCGCGACCCTGCAGCTCCGACTGCTCCCTCTCGGATCACGACGGCCACGAACAAACTCCCGGGTTGATGAATTTCGGCAGGTATAACCCTTTGGGCTGGAGGGGGACTTTGAAAGTGGCGGCTTTCCTTTTGGTTTATCAATAACACCCCTCAACCCCTGCAACAGCCCCAAATCCTCCCAAAACAGCCCCAGCATGCATCAACAGTACCCAACAGACTCCAACACACCCTCGAACACTATTGCCCTCCGAGCCTGTGCTAAAAGAAAGAGAATCAAATAGCTCCGGGGCGTGGGAGCAATGTGAACCAGTTCAGCTATTGCTGACTACTCCTTTCCTTTCGACGGCAAATGGGGCCTAAAGGAGACCAAAGCTACGCCCAAGAAAAACGAAGGAGAAGCCAAAGGAGGCCAAACAAAAAACGAAAGGGAACCCACTCAAACCATCCGAAGGCTCCAAGCGGATGTTCAAGTTCCGCCCTCAAGTCTCGCGCCAGGCGCCTGCCGGAAGCCAGGTCCAGCAAGCGAACTTGGCCGTCCTGGCCGGCCGAAGGGGGACGCGTCAGCGGCCCGGGGCAACGCGACGCGAAGACTTGAAAGGAAAGCAACCCGGGAACGAGGAAGGGAACACGGCACGGAAAGGAGAAGTACGATTCGATGGAACTAGTTGGAGAGACGCCGAATAGATGATCACCGAACCGCCGAAACAAGATGGCTTCCTCTGCACACGGTGGGGGGTTCTGGATTTCGCGTGAGTTCGGATCATTCAGAATGAATCATTCAGGTATCGCGAGGGGAAGATTGAAGGATGAAACGCAGGCGGTAGAGGGCATCGGATTTACAGACTCGGTTCGTCTGCAGTTTGAGCATATGCATCTCATCCATCCACCCATCCAGTTACCATCCCGTCCCATCCGATGCCATCTCATCCCATGCCATCCCATCCCATACCATCCCGTCCCATCCCATATCATCCACCCATCCATCCATCCATCCATCCACCCACCCACCATCCATCCATCCATCCATCCATCCATCCATCCATCCATCCATCCATCCATCCCATCCATCCATCCATCCATCCATCCATCCATCCATCCATCCATCCATCCATCCATCCATCCATCCATCCATCCATCCATCCATCCATCCATCCCGTTCATTTTTCAACGGCTCAACAGCTGGGAGCCCTGACCACGTGGCCGGTCGCCATCAGCTGGGTGAGCTGATGCCCGCAAGCAGAAGTGGCCTCGCAGATCCAACTTTTTGGATCACCGAGTCAAAATCGACCATCCCTAAAGAGCAATTCTCTGTGTTTGTTTTAAAACGACCCCCGAAATGGGTGTGCTAACACAAACATGCCCATCCGAAGCTTGGCCATTTGGCTTCTTCTCCTGCAAATCACTTCTAACTCGAGGCCATTGACATCCATTTTGCAAGTGGAGAGATGCTTTGAACCACCAGACGCCGTTTTGGAGCTGCCTTGTTGCTCTGCTCTTCGCGGCAAAGGAAGGGAAGTGACACACTGGCTAAGCTTCATGGGCCTAGGTGGAAAACAAACGAAGGGTTACAGGTTGCAGGGACCTTCTAAAAAGGGGCCCCTGTAACAACAACGATTCCTGGGCACGTCACAGCGGCGTCTTGCACCAACTCACCCATCCCGGTTGGACTTTCGACCCGCTTGGCAGCAGGCTGAACTTCCAGAAGCGTCACCTGGCAGATACGTTCAGATGGCCATTCCTGGGAATGAGCCTAAACCGCCAAATTGAAGCCTTCACACGGTAGATGAGAGTGAGATGTCGTTAGCAGGGCGGGAGGGATGAGTTCATATTCTAAATTTTGGTGCTTTCCTTGACATTGCCCCTTTGGACCCCAGATCTTCACCAAACTTGCGTCACAAAGCTTGGCAACTATGCCCTTCCCGGAGTACAGTGTATGCAGCGTGTAGCACAACGTACGGAAACCTTGCAAGTAGCTCAAGGCACTGCATATACCAGAGGAATGTCCCCCCCCAGACACAAAGAGTCCTCGTCAGCGTGGGCAAACCTTGACACCCTCATCATGCCCCTCCCGCCTGGCATGTCCAACACCTGGCAGGCCGCGACCAGAATCGAGCCAGTCTCAAAGAAGGGATTGAAGCAATGATTTCTTTGGGGGAATCAGTTTGTCACAAAGCCGCTTGAAATAAGGGACCTCACTGGTGTTGCAGGAAAGCATCGTGTTGGTCAAAAATGTGTTCTTCCGCTTAAACCAACCCTACAAAGGGTACCCTCAAAAAATCACAGACCCGTATACACAAATCGCGACTCGCAGTTTGGGTACGTACGTCTGATTGTTGGCAGCAAGAGTAGTCAAGCAATCCGCAAGCGGTTCAAGTCTGATTTTGAGACGTTGCACATGAGCCGTGAGTTGCCAAGTCCTTACCTTACGAGCAAAGCAGCATGCTTTTCTTGGCTGGACTGGGTTGAACGTGGCCATGTGCCACAGCTAGGGAGACCTCCAAAGGGCCGTTTTGGTTCAAGTTTCAAGTTGGGCGGTTCTGATTTTGGGCAGTTTGCTCCCGCATGACTTGAAATGCATTTCATCCACATCACTCGCTGATTTTTCTGGTAATTACCTTCGACTGGGCTCTCTTCATACACCCTTTAAACCTTTTTCGCATGCCGGTTAAGCCATGCACACGGGAATATATATTTCAAAGGGACCCCGTCTCACCTCCTAAGTGGATTGGCCCAAGAAAATCGCAAGCTTCTCGCCCACGAACTCAGGGATCGAGCAGTTGTTCGGACCCCAAACCTATATATTCATCTCCATGCAACTTTTTGCTTTATGACGCCAAAAGCCAAGTTCGGGGTCGAACAAAACTGGGCTCCCGAGCCACTCTATTGAGACAAGCGCCAGGCAGTCAGGCAGTTACTGGCAGTCCGACCCCGCCTGCGTGCCATGGTGCGCGTCGAAGACGGCGATCCTGTCTGCGGCTCATGGCTGTGCTTGTTGAAGCTTACTCTTTGTCGAGGTTGGAAGGGGAAGCTAAAGGAAACTCGTTTTGGGGTAGGAAAAAACCCGCTCGCCCATCCCATGAATCAGGTCGGGGTTCCTTTTTGCGACTACCCCAACATAGACTTACACCCAGGGGTAAGCGAAGTCGCGTAATTGGAAACAAACTCACAAGAGCTGAACTCCGACGGAAGATTTGGGGTGAGGAAGGCCGTTCTGAAGGCCCGCCAAAATGGTGTTACCTGCCCCAGTTGGTTCAGGGGACTGCACTGACATCATGACGAAAAATATGCCCACATGCAGCGACTGCATCTTGTGTTTGTTGCGCAAGACCAGGCTCTTTTATAGTGTCCGCCACCTTATCTGTTGCCCCATGGTCCTACCAGAAGTTGTTTGATGCAGCTATTCTAGCTGTTCAACACCGCCGCAACAATGTGTTGTTTTCAGAACAAGCCTTAATCTTGCAGGCGGGCATTTATGCCTTCTGAAAAACCGCGAAACTGCCAGCATCCACAATACTATCGTCTTCCCACATCGACCCAGCCAGTCTAGCAAGCCTTCAGTGGCAATGCGGAAACTAAATGCAGGATGAAGCATGCTCAGCTGTTCTTGACTTGGCTACTTGGTTGCATCGGTTGCATTGGTTGTTCATCATGACGCTGTTTGACGCTGAGCTGTCTTTGTTGGTCTGAGAGTGGGGTCAAAGTTGTGTATCCGCATCCCCATGGGCAAAATGCATGTATACATAGGCCAACGGGCTCAAGCTCTGCGCACAATGCTGTTTGACAGTGTTCGACTGGCTTTGCTGGGCGGATTCTGCGGTTGCTGAATAGCCCAGTCTTCGAGCGTAGGTCAAATTTGCTTTGGTTGACAGCTGAGGTGTGCACGTTGCTTTGAAAGCTGCTTTTTGGGCTTCACGGCGCCATAGACAAGCCGACAAGTCAGGACTGCAGTGAAGCTTTCTCAACTGCATAGTGGCCCCATCCAAAGAGTCAAAGTAAAAGACAGAATTGCACCGGCTGCCCGTTACGTGCCCGGAAATTCCGACATTCCCGCCGGTCGATAGCAAGCCCCAGGGTCTTAGGGACTCCAGACATGCTAAACACAAGTTGCGCCAATCCCAGTCTCCGGATTTCAAAGGCCCCACAACACCAAGCAGTCCAAGCCAATCATCAGTATCCCTGCTCACGGGACAGGATAGACCTTTCAGTACAGGCAGCCAAGCAACCATACAGTTGATTACAGATTTGGCAGCCCCAAGCTCCGCTTGGGTTACCTCGCCCTTACGAAAGTCTTCAATCCGAGCGGCGCGAACAATTCACTTTTGCCTGTCGAAAGTTTAAGACGTTGCGTCAACTTTCTTGTCCAGCGCCTTTCTTCGCCTTTGGCGCAAACCCGGACCAGAAACCCGGACCAGCGCATCTCCGCACATGCCGCCTTTCGTGTGGACACTCGCAGACTGCAGCTGGAGAGCAAGCCAGCGCGGCACGAGGTCAAAGCTCTTGCCAAGCCTTCACCAAGTGAAGGCTCGGAACGAGGGTTCAAACTCATCTCTGCCCAGCATCTCGCAACCACAGTTTTGGGGACAGATTTGCGATGCCAACAAGATGATCCGAAGCTGCTTGAGGTCACTGGGTCAATCAGCATGCAGCTGAACAATCATCGATATGGATCCACTTTCATGACATCCTCAAAATTACTCTCAAAATTGTGGTACTTCACAGGAACCAGCAATATGGATCCATTGATCAGAGTCTTCAGTCGTCGTCTTCGCCCACCAAGTGCTGGTGACGGTACAGGCCATCTCTAAATCGAGCTGACATAAAATTCTCCTCCGGC